CACCTTAATTTACCACCTACAGGAATCACCTTAATTTACCATCTACAGGAATCACCTTAATTTACCACCTACAGGAATCACCTTAATTTACAACCTACAGGAACCACCTTAATTTACCACCTACAGGAACCACCTTAATTTACCACCCACGTAAGGAATCACCTTAATTTACAACCTACAGGAATCACCTTAATTTACCACCTACAGGAACCACCTTAATGTACCACCCACGTAAGGAATCACCTTAATTTACCACCTACAGGAATCTCCTTAATTTACCACCTATAGGAATCACCTTAATTTACTACCTACAGGAACCACCTTAATTTACCACCCACGTAAGGAATCACCTTAATTTACCACCCACCTACATGAGCCACCTTAATTTACCACCTACAGGAATCTCCTTAATTTACCACCTACAGGAGTCACCTTAATTTATCACCTGCAGAAACCACCTTAATTTACCACCCAGCAACATGAGCCACCTTAATTTACGACCTACAGGAATCACCTTAATTTACCACCCACGTGAGGAACCTTAATTTACCACCCACCTACAGGAGCCACCATAATATACCACCCACCTACATGAGCCACTCCAATTTACCATCTACAGGAATCACCTTAATTTACCACCCAGGTACAGGAACCAACTAAATTTCACACCCACCTCTAAGAACTACTTAATTTACCCAAAAAATACCTTAGCACACTAGTGTCTACAGTGGATTGCATTGATATAAGATATCATCAATGTATGAAAAATGTGCACATAAATTCTGCACGTTATCAGATGGCAGCAGATCACTAGTATATTTAATATGTTGGACTGCATCATTTGGTTTTAGATTTCAATACAGTCTTTTGCCATTTTTTTTAAATAACAGCTTTGCAAATTGCAGCAACAATAGCAACAACAACCTTAAGTTATGTTGATCTATTTGTAGGCGTCCTGTATGCCCTAATGTCAAGGGTTGCCATAAAATATTGTATTCTATTATAAAGAAACACTCACTATTCACAGGGTTATTAATGCGAACAAAATATGTCTCAACCACTAAAATCTTCTAGATTTCCATGCATTTGATGCAGTCCCGAAAATGTTATTTTTAAATGTTTCAAAGAAGGAGAAAAGCGAAATATCTTAAGGAGGAAGTCTGTACAAACAGCATAATGTGCCAGATGACTTTTTAGGAGATTACAATTCACAATTTCTTATCTGACTTTTCATTGATTACAATTCGTCAGTATTATGTACTCCAGCAAAGGATTATGGGTAAAGTGGATATCTTTACCACTGTTGGTAATT